AATTTACTCCAATCAGCAGGCTTAAGGTACACTTATTGCAGTTCCTTCATTCGTTTCATCTTATTCCCACACATTATGACTAATTTTCAGTTTGCTCTTTACCCGGTTGCAAAGGATATAGGCAAAAATAGTCTTGTAACCAAGCATGTTTGAACAAATACAAAAGTGAATGTGTGAAATAACACTTATGTGCACAAAAAAAGAGTTCTTTTTCTGTTGTACTTGCTAGAGTGTATCCTAAGAAAAAGAAGGTGAATTACCTGTGTATAAACTTTTATAATAAATTTAAATGGAGGAAAATGTTATTAAAAAGAAAGTATTTTGAGGATGAGTTTGAGCCAATGCTTGTCTGTAGAGCTCTGTAAAGAAAATGTTAACAGAGTAGTTTGCTTCTTCAGGCTGTGTTCAGAAGTAAATCACACCTTTCACATAATGAATTGAAATTTATCTCTTGCCACCCTCAATAAATTTGTACTTCTGTGAGTTTGTGTTTTGCCAGCATATATAACCTCTTCACTTCATTCAGAGAGGCAAATAAATGGTTTCCAATAGCAATGAAAACTGTCATTCATATTATCAATTCATTTGGCTCCAAGCAAATTTTATGCTTACAGGGACTGACTTTGTTTCTGGCTAGGAAGGCCTGATACCAATATCACTGTAGTCAATGTGAGAGCTTCAAACACAACTTTAACGAAGCCTTCTCATCTCAGTGATGGTGAAGAAAATCACATACATTTTTCTCTGATCTTTGGGTCTCAGGGAAAGACCAGAGAATGCTTTCATATGTGAAATGAGGTGCATCCTTTATCTCTTGTAGCAGACAGCCAGATTCTCCCCATTTTCCCCAGTCCTTTCCACTTTGTTGTAGCTTGAAATGGTGAAGGAAGAAAAAGCTGAGGCAAAACTGGTTGCTTGAGCTTCACGGGTCATCTGCATATGCATGGCCACCCAAAATCCTGACAGGGGCCTCTCCTGCACAAGTATTAATTTCCTCAGATGTAGAAAGAAGATAAAGCTAAGAAGAATCCATCATGTACTTTGAAAAACTGGGGGACAAAGCTGCAGGGCTTATTTCTGCTGAGCTGCTTTGCTTCAGAGAGATGCATAAGAGAGGACGAGAGAGTCTTGGCAGCATTATCAACTTAATGTCTATCAGCAATGTTAGTTTAAGCAGTGAAAGTTGTTTTAAGAAAAGTTGCTTTAAATCCACTTTATGTTACAGTGGTTGGAAAAAAAAAAAGAGCAAACAGTGAAGTCAGCTGAGAGAATTAGATCAACATGGAAACAACAAATAAAGTGGTCTCTGGCACACCCTATGTGCTATAGCAATCTATAAAGTAAAATAAACTTGCTTCAGGCTTTAAGGGATAGGTTGCAGCACAAAGAGTTTCCAACCATATTTTTCCTCTTGGCCTGCTCACTCCTGCTCCCCTGACCCACAGTGTTAACACATCTGTTCACTGAGCCACAACATAAGTTGGATTCTATAAATGATGTGGCTTTTCAAAAAAAAGTGCCCTGATGATGAGTGAAGGAGGTTTACTTCAAACACAGATTGGTTCAGAGTAGAACTCCACAAATCATTAAAAGCAAGGAAGAGTTGGAAACTGAGTTGATACAACTGATGTTTCTGAGTCATATCATTCCTGATAGAGCTAAGCATCAGGACTTACAATCTGGAACTGACTGAGACTTGTGAAGATTCCTGACTGGCTTATGTAAAATACACTGTTATATTTACACATGTGAGTGGAAATGACTGTTGTTTTATGACAAATATCTGTCATTTGTTACTCATATTTCTTGTTAATTAGATTGGAGAAATTTCCTACTTAAAATTATTAGTAATCACTGAAAATAATGTTTGCCACCTTCCCATCAGTAGGAAAAAACATTACTGCATTACTGTGAGTGGCTTCTTGCACAACTGGACGCATCACTTGATTAAGTCATAAAGGTAAATTTCAAAGGAGCAAAGCCTACTAGCATCTCTCAAAGTGATTGCATATTTTAAATGTGAAAACCTAAAATTAATATTTAACAACGTTTTCTGCTCAACCTCCCAAAATTTTAATCCAACTCATTTAGCGTGATTGGTAAGTACACAAAGAAACATGCAAACAGAAAGATTTTTGTGATAAAATTATTCCCAAGCATTTATTACACTGGAACAAAAAGAGACCTATAATATTGTCTGATGATGGAACTACCAAAGCAATGAAATAACCAAGAATTTTCAGCTTTTTCTTTTTTCCCAATCTAGCTATGAATGTTAGGACCCTCCCTATCCTTGGAAACCACAGAATCATAGAACTGTTTGAGTTTAAAAGGACCTTTAAATGACATCCAGTCCAAATCCCTTGCAATGAACAAGGACAGCTATAGCTTCATCAGGTGCCCAGAGCCCTATCCAACCTGACCTTGCTTGTCTCAGGGATGGGGCATCCTTCCCAGAAACCAGAAATCTCATGTTGGAGTAATCTGGCTACAGCACAAAGATTAGCTAAAGATATTGAGTGTAGACTACAGAATTATTGGAGGTACTTAATTAAATTCCAGTGTAAATGGGAGAGCAAGATAAAAGGAACAGGAATCTATTTTTTTCCTGTTTTGAATTAGTGAATGTGAATGTAGGGCACTAATTATAGAGGCACTATTCAGGATATTTGTAAGTAAACAATTATTCTATTGAAAGGAAATTAATTCAAAACTTAAAGTAATCCATAATATATCTCTTTTGCTTGCTTACTGAATTTCCTTACTTCAGCATAGCAATCTTTTTTTTTATTTTATGGTGACTTTTTTGTTTTGTTTTGTTTTTTAATAATCTTTTTGTTCCTGGAAGGGACAACATCTGCCATAACATTTAAAAGTGCCCAGAACATCAGCTTTCAGAGAAGTACCTTCATTAGCTTGTATTTGTCTATCCCATTATACATACTATCTGTTCTACTGTTACAAAACACCTGTATGATGCTATTTGATTGCAGATTGTACTCACCATCATGACCAGACCATGTAAATAGAGTACAAGATTCCTGTAACTCAAAGGTAATGTTCATTCACCAAAGTCCAGAGTTATACTGCTGTAAATACGGCACGAATTGTATGAGGCCTCAGGTATTAACTGTACCACCTATCTTGTCCACTTAGATGTGGGTAGAAGTAGGCAAATCTTACTGAAGTAAAGTCATTCATCGGCTCTTCTTCACACTCAACTCATGTTGCCCACAGCAGCCACCTCCAGTTTTGATCCTTGCATGTCTATTCCCTTTTTTCCAAAGCACAGAGCAAGGTTACTTTACCATGAGATTAACATGCCATATGCTACCATCTGCTCCAAGAAGAGTATCCACGGGAAGTGGCAAAAGTGAGTATTTTCACCCTATGCATTCAGACCTTGACAAAAGCTTGACAATTCTCCGCTGAATATGTAAGCATCTCTGCTCAATAAGCAGAAGATATACATACATACGAAAACTACACAAGTTTTCATAAGTAGTCAGGATATACAATCTCAAACTAATGCAATGCATCACTGGCATCATTTTTTATTGTGATATTATGCATACACATTTGTAGAGGAAAGGCTGCACACCAAACTATGCCAAAGGCATCAGCAGGCACAGAGTAGTTTCACTACATGATATGACATAGAGTGATTTATACATTATTATTTAAACTGCTAATATACTCATGCATCCCCAGAGAATAGAGACTGAAGTTATTTACCAATCTTCATTATCATGATGGAATAATGATTACAACAATCTTCATCTAAGTTCTAAATTGCATTTTTTTTTAACACTGGAGAATGAGCTCACTACGTATCTGTAGGAGTATAATAATTTCTGCATACTTGCATTCAACCAGCGTTCTACCAAAAAGGGCTTTGAATAGTATAAATTCTGCCAGAGAAGCATACTCCGTGTGTGGGAAGGACAAACTGCTTTTTATTGGTTGTAATAAAGCCAGCAGCATCTGCTGCTGTTCAGCAACGCTGTCACCAGTACTCAATCTCTTAATAACGTGGTGTTTTTTTTCCCCCAGATCATATTCTGAACCTGTCTGAACAAAGGTGAGAACCTAAAATCCATCACACAAGCTAATTCAGAAAACATATTACACTGTGATGCCATTAAACAGGGACTAGTGAAACTTTCTCTTTAGGCAGTATGAAATTGTAGTCACTCACAGCAAGATAAAACCACTCAACCACAAGGAAGAAAGAATTCATGTAATCTTTTCCATAGCATTTCCTTTTAATTGTACTCTTCTGAGTGCTAGGCAAATAAAATCAAGCTCTAGCTGAAATTAATAAAGAGAGAAAAGAAATACAGTACATAGTTCTGATTTTCTGGAAACCTGATGGTGTGTGAAGAAGACACAAGGAGAATTCTTTTGCTTATTTCTAAATCCAATGGCTAAACACAGAGCAAGGAGTGGCTGCAAATACTCCATGGAGTACTATAAAATGGACAGAAACAGTACTGATCTGAAGAAGCTAGGACGAATTGCATTCGGATATTAACCAGAACCACAGGTCTTTTAGCAGTCAAGCCTCTGTGGCTCTAGTAGTAATCATTGGTTTAGCTACTGTTTCAAAGGATGATTTAGCTTTCTTCAACACTAGAAATACCAAGCACTTTCTTGTTACCCACTGATTTCAATATAGTCAAAATTGTTATTCCACATATATATATTGAATGATCGAAGTAAAATAAATTCATTAAATTAAGGTTAAAAAAAAATAGGAAACTCAAAAGTAAGCACACAATTTCTCCTTTAACTCACACAACCCTGTTTTTCAGTGTTTTCAGTGGTTATCAAAACAGTGCTACCTCAGCTTGGTACTTAACCAAAATTAAGTGAAATATAAGTCTATGCACTTGATAATTGACTGACAAAAAATATCCATCCAATTGTCATCATGTATCTCTCTGATCACAACAAAGTGGTTCACAGGCATCCTAATATGGGAAGAAAAAGCCTCTTACCTTCAGTGTGTACAGCTGAAACATAGGTCCAGTTATAGCGCTTGACAATGTCCACCATAGCCCGTGCTTGCTGTGCATCAGATGGTACAACTCTCATAAAATACTTGAACAGAGTTTTGTCGCTTAGGTCCATGCTTGTGGCAGAATAAGCAATCTGAGGTATATTGAAAAGCTGCAATAAGTTCTGGACCTGGATAGCAACTGAGCTAGAGCCAGGGCCAATGACACCAACAATGGGTTTCTTGGAGTGGAAAGATGATGAAGATCCATCTACACATCGCACCATCCCTTCCTCTTCTTCTGATGAAATAAGAGAGTCCCTTATAAACTCAATGCTTTGCTCCAGAGCCACAGCAGAATGCCAGCAAGAGTCCCTTATTTCACATCCTAGTGTTATATTTGGCAACAGTGTTGGGTCCAAATTAATTCTGTCAAGGGTATGTAGCATTGCCTCCACTCTCTGAATGCCATACTGCTCTCTTACCTCTCCACATTTCCTCTCATGAACTTTGTCAACTGTTGGTTGGTGGTGGACAGAAAACAGAGCTCCAATGATAATATCACCTGGCATGTGTGCAACCACCCTTCTTTCATTGGCCTGTGCAGAAACCAAAAGCCTGAAGTTCCCACAGACATCTTCCTTCAATAATAGGATTGCAAGGAACAGCAAAAGGACCATTTTAGGAAATGGTTTAGGCTGGTAGAGACAACATGGTTGAACAAAATTGAGTTGGTCAAAAGCAGTTATCAATTTTTTTGGATAAACAGAGTAGAATGCTGGTTAATCAGGAGTTTGCACGTTTTCTCTAAGGTGTCACCATCATCTCCAAGTAGATAGCGATGCAGAGCTGTAAATGTGATCATAATCCTCATAACCTTCAAAAATGAATAAATAAAAGAAATAGATTTAAAATGAGAAATAAATTCAGCTTTGTAATCTTTATTGAAGTTGCTCTACTGTCAATGACTGTAGTACCTAGTCTGCTCTACACATTTGTTTCTATCATTATTCAAGCTGGAAAGTTTTGTTCTAGTTCAGTGTTTTGCAATCTTAGGCTTGTAATTCTGCTGATATAAACTGGTGTCTTTCTCTTGGATGCTTTTAAAAACTCTTTGGAGAAATGTTTTCAAAACTGCAAAATACAGACAAGTATTGATTTCCAAATAAAGATATTGCCATTTCTAATACATCTTTGAAAACAACACTCTTTACCTACAGATGTTTCCCATGTCGCAAATGTCTCTGTCATACTAATGCACCTCATTCAATACTGTGTTATCAAGTACAGCACTAGAAAAAGTTTTTTATAAATAAAATCATTCCTGAAATATGATCAGAAATGCAGAATCTGGCTTTTATACCCTGAAAATGTTTTTTCTTTGTAAGCCACAACATGAAACAAATGATCTTTCAAGTAAGCTAAGATTAAGAAAGTTGATCTATTTAATAACATTTGTTTTTATTTTAAGTATGAATATTTCAGCAGAAGAATGACAGATTCATTTCAATTCTAAAGCAGCAGAGTGAAATCATTTAGATACTTAAATCAAAAATCACTAAGAAGAAATTCAACAAATCTCTTTAGGGCTCTATACAGGCTTCACTGTAGAAAGAAGAAAGCACAGATACTATATAGGTGCACTGATGCCTAAAATATTTGATCTGCTACATTTTCTGACAATCTGCAATGTGATCATCACTCAGTTTTACCACTGGCAAAGGATCAAAGAAAGAAAGGAAGAAAGAAAGGAAGAGTAAGAATAATGATCAGAAAAGATTAATCTCTTAGGCTGTGATCAGTGAACTTGAGAAGACACTTGAAGATGTTCTGTACCTAGCAGTGCAATAGTCTGCTCCTGGTTTTAAACATAGTGCTTAAACTGTAGTTTTGTCCAGCCCTAAGCTTGCTAGTGGATCCACTGATAGCAAAGAAAGTTAAACACACTCTTGCATCAAAGAAGATGCTGAGCTAGTTAGTGGACCACATGCCCAGTCTCATTATTTGCAAAACAAAAAAAAAAACCAAAAACACTGTAGGACATAGTATAATCTCAGTTTCACTTACATAAATCTTTTTTTAAAATAATAACGTTTATATAATTAATGTACGTAATAAAGAATATAGGATTTTCCATACGTTTCAGATCCATCAGTAATTTCTAATCCATTGATACGATTCTGATAGCACTCAGATGTTGCAAAGTGAAAGAAACCTTTTGCAATGGAGAGTCTACCTCTGCTTTCTCCAGTGTCAAATTCAGCAGGAGTAAAATCCCGTATTTACCACTCATCGCTAGAGCATTCAATACACAGTGTCACAATGAACATCTTCCTGATTCCAGCCAAATCTAAAAACATTTTTCTGCTTTAGGTTAGCCTTATTTAATTATTATTGTACCTAGGCATCTGTAAATTGTAAAGTATTTACACAAAGGCAATCCTACAATTGTGTCAGTATTCCTGAATGAAATCCAAATCTTTAAAAAGATAAAACATTGAAGAGAAATGGTCTTGTAATATGAATTGCAATATTAATAGGTTCATGTAATATTAATTTCTAGTAATAGAAAGTGATAATAATGAAATAGGATTCAGACAACTGTAGAATATTTCAATACTTTTTTTTTTTATTATTTTTGTGAGTTGGATTATTAATACTGCAATCCGTTGCTACTATGGAAGAACAGCAGATCAGTTCAGGTTAATTAGTCTCTAATTACAGAATATCACTACTGCTTATGTGTTCCAGTTGTTTGTTCTGTGACACTGAAGATGATACTGTCTAATTTGTAAACAGTCTGAAGGATGAATGACAGGGCATATCTTAGTACAATATCACAACATTCCTGTACCTCAATGTAACATTTCATCACTTAAAAAAAACTTTTGCTTATTGTTAATGTGTTAGCATTTAAACAGAAATAGTAATCTGCTATTCAAAAGCACAGCACAGAGCCTGTCTATATCTAGACCAAATGCCAGCCCTGCCTCAGACTGTTACAGCATATACAATTACATGTCTTTTTATAACCTAGCTGCTTATGCAGCTGCACACGCACAAATAGAGTCTGGGGGTTTGGAATGAGCTTGTGATACAAAATGTATCTAATCTTAACTCATAATTTTAATTCTACAATATATATTGCCGAGACTTCTGGCCAGGTTTACTGGCACTGTCCACAGCTTTAAGTCTATAGATTAAACAATTTTCATACAGGATATATGGGAAATAGAAGGCAGCAGGGACATCTTTATCTTCTTCACTCCAAAGAACAGCTGTTTGTTCTCCTCTGTCTACAGTTGTATTTATCTATATAGCTTGCAGGGTAAAGAATGAAATAAAGCTGATGGTCTCCTTTATAATTCTAGTTCAACAGTAATAGCAGATAATCACAACGGAGGGCTCCCAGGGCCCAACAGCAAGTTATGAAACCAATCAAAACCTTCCACACCATGGTATCCAAGGGGAAGAAGGGGCCAGATGCCAAGTGAAATTGCTCCTGAATTAATGATCAGTCTTCACATGTTTTGCTGTACTGCAGTGGAAGTCAATTTACTTGGGACTTTCAATTGTTGTTACTAATTGCACCAAAAAACCTTCTTCATTTACGTAGTATTAGATTTAGGACTTCAAAGCATGTGATCTGAATGCCTTCTGTGGGCTTCCACAATGCAGCAAAACAACCTGTAATTTATACTGACACAGGCAAGTGAAACTGCTAAACACTACAGATTTTAATTTTTACTATAGAGATCTGTTTCTGTGGGCTTATTCTTGCCCTCACAGTCCTAAAAATCACAGGCTGAGGTCAAAAGAAACCTCTGAGGTTGTCTGATCCATCTACCCTAACCAAAGCAAGTTCAGCTAAAGCAGGTTCTTAGGGTCACATCCAGTGAGATTTCAACTACCTCCATGGATGGAGGCTTCACAATCTTTCTATGCAGCTAATGTTTGACCACACGAACAGCAAGGAGGTTGTTTTCTTATGTTTAAATGGAAGTTCTCACATTTCAGTTCATGTCCATTGCCTACCATCCTTCCACTGGATATGACTGGATATGCCATTCAAAGAGGGTAACTGCCTTGAGGGTAGTTAGGCAGCTGATCACATTCTAGGCTAAAAGATGGCTGAGCAGAGACCCGATAGACTAAGCACACTAATTACATTTCCTGGAGAAATCCTCCATCCTCCCTGAAAAGATGACCAAGGGAACTGTTCAAATATAGTTTCACTGCAATCGTATCCCCAAAGAATCTTATACAAGTTATTTTGATTTTTATTCTTTCCTCATACTGGAAGCTTATTATTTTAAGCAATATGATTACTACAATAAAATTAAGCAAAATTTTATGAGCTTAAATATAATTCCTGTGTTATTACGGGTAACCTTAAAGAGAATTTCACTATGAGAAAATTGAGAACAGAGGCATCAATAGCATCATAGACAGTAAACCCTTGAACACATATATAAAGAGGTAGAAATCATTTCCCAATTAATAATTTATCTGCATTTACTTGTTTTTGTTGATGGACAAGCAAATCAATATGCACAGCACTTTGGGTCAAATTTACTTTTCACACTTCAATTTCTTTAGCATCAAGAGAGTTACTATTAATTTACTGCAACATAGACAAAATGAAATCAGGCACTTAATTACTGGTCTATCAAAGTTCTTAGCTTATTCCAGCTATGGATCTAACTGTAAATTAATTCTGAAGTCCTCTGCAATAACAACAGATGACAGGCACTCAGGTTTCTGTCCTTTGCTGCACTCAGAACAATTGCAGAAGTAATAAGGTGAAAAGATGATTCTGCCTATCTGTTCTTTGTTCAGCCTTGCTGTAGTCAAACTTTTATGGGCTACCTAGGTGAAGACACGATGAAGCACTCAACAATTTCCTGTAACCTTTGCTCTCTCCGATAGTAAAAACTTTATGCTAGCCTCTGCTAAGAGAAATTCTCAGCTGTTTCTTTAGGGCAGAGTTCCAAGTACTTCATGTCGAGGTTTAACCGAGTAGAAAATGAGCATCTGTAATATTCCATGAAACATCACACAACTCTTGAAATGATTTATTTTAACCTGAAATGCAAGTTCATCTATAATTAGTCTGTGCAGACCAAAACAAAGAGCCCTCATATCTAACTGAATTAATTAGATCACAAATCCCACAGCAGTTCACAGAGGGATGATTTTGCACTGTGTATGTGGCTGCGAGTTTATACATGGAGGACATCTGACTTTTCTTCTACCACAGCAGGTGTTAACTGTTGAAATTCATAGAGAGCCTCTCTGTGACTTACATTATTGTGATAGCGCCCACTAGCGACTCCAGAATGAAGGAGTCATTTCCATAATCTGAATTCTGGCTGTGTAGCTTCTATAGGTAAGATACAAAATGAGCAAAGGGAATCTACTTTGTATCAGGAAAAAAAATAATAACAATAATAATAAAATAAAATAAAAATATAAATACTATTGTTCTTTTATTTTATTTATTATTAACTGATTAGAGTTCTGCAATCTTACAGCCTCTTAGTTCATCTTTTCTGAGTCTACTGGCAGATTAAAATAATAAATAAAAAATGCCAGATTACTGAACACAGTGCTTCGGTGTAGTGAGAACTCAGGACCCAATGGAGGAAAGCACTTAGAAACATGCTCAGTGCTAAATGCATGAAAAATGCTGTTGGTCAATCATCTGCAAAATTTTATCTGAATTTAACGTCACTTTGTAGGATTTTCCTGATTAGATAAATCATTAAAAATTATGCTCCAAACCCATTGATTTGTAGAGATAAATTTTATTTGTAGACTATGAACATATAGCTTACATATAGCCATAGAACATATAGCCATGTATCTGCCAAGAAAATGCTTTCCAGGTATTCATTTACAGCACATACTGCAATTAATTCTGTGCCTTCAGATGTCAGATAATAAACGTCAATATAGATATAGAAATGAATCAAATCAATACACGCCAAGGAACTAACCCAGATTTCATCATCAGAGGAAAAAAAAATTAAACACACACACACACACACACACAAAACAAGCAGAAACTGAATTACTGGCCCTACATCCTACCATTTTTCTTCATAATTGCAGTGAAGATCTTTAAAAGGCAAGAAGATAGAACTGCCTTAGAAAAGTCATTACATAAGAGAGACTTCTCAGCTCTTCTCAACAGGGAGCGATATGAGCAAGAAGTGTACACTGAAGTTTCTAAGGTGCTAAGAGTTTGCTCAGTACTTCTGGCTACTGCCATTGCAAACACAAAACATTGGGTTCAGTCTATTCTGGCAATCTTGTTCCCAGTGCTATAGGGAGACTCACATTACAGAAGATCCCACACACTTACTTGGAGGTAGTTTCTTTGGTCACACAAAAATCTGATGCTCTCAAATGCTCTTTAGTTGCAAAACATGATTGTGAGCACACAGGTATGTTTTGAGATTTCGACTGCCATTTAACTTTTCCATTCACTAATAATAAAAATAAATAAATAAATAAATAAATAAATAAATAAATAAATAAATATCTTCTCTGAAATTCAGTGGGCATTGAATCAAGCACTTTGACGAGGAAAACAATATTTTAAAGGGTAGACACTATGAAACAATTTCCTGCAATTTTGCTTAGAAATAAACTAAGCACACAGATGAATTCTAACCATTTGGTCTAAATAGCTACTGAAAATAACAGACTAGCGGATTGATCTATGCGTGTCTTCACAGATAATAAACATAGAATACTAGAATTATCATCAAGTTCCTTAGCAATCCAGGAAGTCTCACCACCCCACACACACTTTCTGGTTAATGAAACATTTTTTTTTTTGATGTGTAGGTGCTTAACATTACAGCAAAACTTGCAGTGCTTCCAGCAATTCTGCTAAATATGCTACTTATTACTGCCACTACCAAAAACCTGTTATACCACATGATGCAGAAACTAACAGCTCTGGTGTGATTTTAGCTGTAATTCTGGACATTTTATTAGTTAGCAAAACTGTATGATTTGTAGGAAGTGATCAAACAAAAGCAATAGCAAATCCAAAATATCATCTTCTGGTCAGTCACAACAATAGTCACTTTGAAGTGACATTCCTGCACTACCACTATATCAAAAAAAAAAATCACAAATAAAATGACAAAGAAGCTTCATAGAGACTCAAGAAATATTTTCTGATCATCTGAAATAATGATTAGCACCGGCATCCCTAATTACATAAGCATGTAGTTAAAATCTTTGAGAATGCACAAAATATTAGTATATGACTGAAATGTTTAGGGATACAGTAATAAGAATGAAGTCATAGAGAATAATAATTTAAAAACAAACAAAAAATGTTCACTGGCACTTAACTCCTTTATACTCCTTTATACACTTTCTCGTTTGAGGACAGCTTAAAGCAGTGTATTTTCAAGGCAGTCCTCTGCCACTTTGCTATCGAGATGGTCCTCCAGCTACGTCCTCAGAACTAGAAAAAACAACTATCCATTCTCACCACCACATATCCCCACCAGAAAGCCCTTCTCGAGGAGGAGGAGGAGGAGTGGAAGTGACCCTACGGGAGCGAAGGAGCGCCGGTGTGGGGACACGGAGCTGCCGGCGCTGCCCATGGTGCTGAACGCTGCTTTCCACCCGCCTCGCGGGCTGGTTGTAGCGGAGGGGGAAAAATAATCTAAAAATCAACCAGTGGCTAAATGAATAAATATATGTATATAAATGACACAGTTGTCACAGTTGTCTTAAGGACAACCTTTTTCTCTTTTTTTTTTTTTCAGATAAACTAGATGCATAGAGCCGGCTCATAGAGGAAACTATTGGACAAGGTTAACTCCTAGAATAGCTACCTGTGCTGCTACAACTATGTGTTTGTGCATGCAAGTGTATATGTATGCGTGCACACTTGTTCTTAGGTATCTGCCTCCCTAAAGGTATCACAGTCCCCCGCAAGCCTTAATGAATCGTTTTAACATGCAGAGACATTAGCTCCAGTTATTAAATAAGGAACAGAGGGGAGTTGCCGATCAGAGCCAAAGTGATTCGTCCCAAGGTCACATAGAAAAGTCAATGGCTGGGCTTCGCCTTGCTGTATCTGGAAAATAAATTCATTCCATTTCTATTCTTTCTGGCAAGGCAAATCGTTACTGGCGAATAGAACAGCTATATCACACACACCAACAAACCCAGGTATTGCAGTACCTGAATCGTCTTCTGCCCTACATATAGCCCACGCCTGGGGAGGGGTCAGTGCCCATTGCCTTCCGACGCCCAGCCCGCCGATGTCCCAGCAACCCCGAGGTGTGCCCCACAGTCTTACTTGCCCCCCCTGTAGTCGTGCTTGTCCTCCAGCAAGCAGGGCACGGAGAGAGAGCAGCCAGGGGGGAGGGAAGGGAAAGAGTTCCTCCTGCATTCACATGCTTTCTGTCAGTGGTCAGGGGCTCATAAATTCCCTCTCCCATTCCTCAGCATTACCTTGTGGGTGGCAGCAATCTCTTCTTCCTCCAGTGGCGGCAAAACAGTCCTTTCAGTGGCAGCAATCAAGACCGGTAGGGGTAGGCACCTCCTTTTTTCAGCACGGCAGAGATAGCATTCCTCACACAGACCGTCTTGAGCTGAATAATCCTCAAATGCCTCTGCAAAGATCACCAGCAGGTGAGCCCCGCTCGGCTCGCATTGTCACTCCTCCAGCTATGGGCACATCCTGTTTTCTTCTGATCATAGGCAAATGCTGAGAATCGAGGATCTTACCCCCGCGCCTGCATGCACACACGCACACGCCATGCAACACTCTCTTCTCTCAGCATCGCCCAAGTCTCATTTGTAAGAGGCGTGAATGGTCCCTAGATTTAAGGGGGAGGAGGAGGGAGCGAAAGCCGTGAGGAGGAGGAATAAACAAACAAACAATGAGACGACAGACGGGTCTCTGCTCTCTGCCACCTTGGTCTTCCTAAATACTTGCTGCAGTTTGACCCACCTGCTTAAGCACCTCAGCCCCTCCTCACGCTTACACGGCTCCAACCCCTGCCTTTCGCAGGGGTTAATTCTGCCTTTTGCCCTCTCTCCAGGTGCTCGGAAGGTTGTGAAGTCGCCCTATGAAGGGGAAACCTCCCGCCCGCACCGTCCCTTTCCAGCAAGCAGGGAAACGGAGCTGGGCTCAGAACAGCATCACCCTAAAAAAAAAAAAAAAAAAAAAAAAAAAAAAAAAAAAAAACTATGCCTTATTGAGGATGGTCTGTTTTAAACAAAGACACGGGAAAGAGTTTACCCCTGCAGATCCGATGGGCTTTCAGCGATTTCGCTACATCGAATTTTCACATCCTCCTCTCCGAGGGCCGCGCCACACCTGTGGGTCCGGGGGCAGGAGGGGGCAGGGGGCTCGCAGGGAGATCGCCGGGCTTCAGCGCAACTTTTTAGTGCCACCAAGTGGCACTCCCTCCTCTAGCAAACCAAGCAGCAAGCTCCGGGCTCTTCCTGACTAGGGGAGAAAGGGGATGCGAGAGTCGACCCCTCCCCACACGGTTTATGTACCGCTATTAAGCAAAAACGACAGACTGTTGGCTGCGGGAAGAGCAATTTGCCCTCTCCATCCCTCGCCCCTCGTCTTGCCTGCAGGGCACAAGGAACAGTGATCAGACAAAGGCAGCCGGGGCTGACAGCTCCACTGCGGGATGTGCCCCTCTGTGCCACCTGCAGCCACTCCCTGGCCACCCAGCCCCTTTCCCTCAGCACCCCTTGGACTCCCTGGCCCCACAGCGTTACCGTTCCCTGCCATCCCCAGACCGTTTCGGCAGACCTACAGGCATGTTTCCTCCTTGCCTACCTTGTGCCCCCAAACACAGTTCTCTCCATCCCTTTTTCTTCCTCACCTTCCCAGTAAGAAAAAATACAGTAAAGCTCTCCACTGTTAATTATTAGTCCCCCACATGTGCACCTTCCCTCAGTTAACCCTTCCCTCCCAGAGCTAGCCGAGGATTTACCTTCTCTTCCAGCATCCCTGCATCCTCACAAAGCTTCCTCCCTCCCTTTCTCCTCCCTCTCACATCTGAGCCCAGCACATCTCAGCTCCTGCTTCCATTCAAATTCAGATGTCCCCCAGAGGGTGGGCAGGGACCCCCAGCACAAGATTGTGCAAAGTGGGAGTGTGGGTACACGTGAGAGAGGGACCCTGAGCCCTAATGAACTCAAAACCTCTCAACACTGGTGCTTCATCAACAGCAAGAGCAAACAACGACAAACCATCACCAACACAATCCTGAACAGGGGTCACTTCTTAATTCAAAGCTATTCTTGGTAAATAAATAAATAAAGATAAATTAAATAAATAATCAAGCAAAATGGCATTTAAGTAAGAGCTGATCTGGCATTTAAAGGCGGTTGGGTCCGAGCATTTATGAGGCAGTATTTGCAGGGGAGGATTAGCTCGCACATCCATTTTCAGGAATTAACAGTCATTCTCTGTAGCTGCACCACAGCTTGGCACTCCTTGCTAGTTCCCCACTCTTTGGGTTAAAAAACACTGCTTAAAATATTATCTTTTTGAAAAATAAAAAGAAAAAATACCAAATGACCCAAATCCCAGCTGCTATTTGATGCAGTTCCCCAGTGTGCCTGCACTGATATATTAAAGCTGCACTGTGTGTCCTCCCCTATGCTTCTGTTTAGCTGGGGTAACTTTGATAAAGTTGTTGGGGAGCAGGAAAAGAGAGATATTCTTGCTAATGTTCCATCCATAATCCTAATCCCCTGTGTTCACTCTACTGCTGTCTTCCTATCACCAGATTCCCAATTTGACTGCTCATTTCATCCCAAGGGATGAAGAATAGGAATCCCATATGTGCTTAGCAGGTGTGGAGCCTGGCCACTTTCTCCTTCACATCCTCACTCAGTCCCAGCCCGGGCCTGGCTGGGAGCCTGTCAGCCAGCACCTGCTTCATGTCTTTCCCCAGCACTCCTCGCTCCTGCAGCCCTTGAAGCCCTGGCAGCAGCCAGTTGTTAAAGCAGAGGGCTTTGTGAGCATGCATGCATGTGGTTCTAGCTGCTCATTCACACTGCTCAGCTCCAAGGGCCTCTGCATTGCCTCTTAAAGGAATGGAGACATGTTAGATGACAGAGAGCCCATTAGTTACCAGGGGTTTCCCACTCCTGCAAGAGTCATGGTGAGGTGATAGGGAAGAAGCATCCTTCTTTTTGATCCCATTTGCCCCTCAAACATTGTCTTCCTGCCAACGAGGGCATGGGCTGTGAAATTATTATGTCAGGAGGCTGGAGACAAATAGAAATATGTAGAAAAGGCACAGATCAGAAAAAGGAGGGAAGGGATGACTCTGTAAAAGGGGAAAGTGAGGTCAAAAGCAAGATCATATTCCTGTACATAGTGCCCTTGGAAGGAAGCAACATCAGAAAAATCTGGGGAGAGGGGAGATGCAGTTGCTTTGCTGGGCTGTCACAGCAGTTTTTGTCTCCCCCAGGGACTATTTACGTTGTTTTGGGAGTCAGAAAGCAGGCACGTCACTGTCAGTGGAAACACCCAGCAGGAGGGGATGATGGTGGGTGGCCACACAGGTGATCCCCACACAAGCAGAACGTGCAGATTCGTATGGATGCGGTGACACTGGATGCAAAGCAGCTCCCACACACATCCCCAAGGACTTCCCATGAATCAGAGCACAGAGTTCACTGTGCCAGATGTTTGGAGCAGCTGGATCAAAGATTAAAAGAGGTAAACAGAATGGATGAGGGTGGCCATAGCACTTACATTCCTAATGCCTCTCACTGACCTTTTGAACAGGTTACCTATAAATACAGATATGAAAAAGGCTCTTTATCGTTGCTTTCTTCCCTTTGTTACAAACCATCTCACAGAACCCATAAAAGTAGTCAATGTCTTTTCCACTGATGGTAGATTATATTTCCCGTACCAGAAAATATCCCTTCTTGTTTTGATACTGTTTTGAAAGTGAATAAAATGAAAGCTTCTTGCACCAATTTGCAACATCATCAGTAATAAATAAATATCTCAGTACATGCATGAGGAAATATAATGAGTACATTTGCTAAGTGCACTATTAGTAACACTCATTATTTCTGCAGCAGTAGCATCTATAGACAGTAACACATTGGGCAAGGCTGAACACGCTCTGAATGTCTGCAATCTGAGGAGCTCATGAATACAGCAAATTGCAGGGAAAAAGGGGTATGAAGAAGTCTCCAGGTATAATCAGTACCTACTAAGAACTTAATAACCACTCTGCCACTCTTAGATTGAAAACAATGAGGTTAAAGGAATACTAATTTGGATTCTCCTCGGTTCCAGAATTAATAAACATGTGGGATGCTGGTGGCGTGATCAAAGACATGCTGTGGACAAGAAGGTGATATTGTATTGGTCAAGATGAGCTAGGTAACTGTTTTTTTACAAAGTAGTCTTTAAAACTAGCTCAATAATAATAATAATATGAAATTATGTGTTTATTATGTATATTTATATTCTAATCAAGACAAAAATACTGTCTACTGGACAAGGTGGAAAAGATGGAGCAAGGTGTGAACAATCTAGCTTATATTATTCAAACCAAGACAGTTATTCTTTCTTCTTAGGAAATATCTTAATGGCAAGACTGCTATGTAATAGGAGAATAAGAAAGTGCAAATTATGCTATATAACATATTGTAAAACAGAATACTAATCTGCCAGTACATAATAACAGTGCTACTCTCAGAATCCTTACTTGATGTTGCCCTTTGTACCTCAAAGAATGTAAGGGTCTGAATTTCTGTGTCTAATTTGTAATGATTTACATGTAAACTTCCTGATCTATAGATTTAATACAGGGAAACAGGCTTTTGTAATGTGCAATTTGCTTAATCTACCTTTAACATTTCTTTTAGGATGATGAAGGAAGAGGCATTAAGATGTGCTCACTTCTCTTAATAGATTCTGAAGGGTACCTGTTCCTCTTAGAATTATCTGTATTACATTGGTGTGCATTTAAGGAACCTATGAGTAATTTATGGCTCTTGGCTGTGTGTAGGTGTAAATGAGGAGCTGAAACACCCAACACTGCCAAGACTGTTCTAGTTCAGTGTAAGGAAGTGTTCCTGCTCTTAGTAATTGGGAAGACCCATGCTTTCCAGACTTATCCTGGCTGTGAAACTTCTTCAACACTACACAGTCCCTGCGTAAAGACTCACATGGCAACTGATTTAGATTTAGAATCTGTGACTGGAAGTGTCTATACACCCTTGCCTTCCTGTTGCTTTTGCCCATTATTAGAAAACAGGGCATGGGAGTGTAAGACCAAAACATAGATCTCTGTGGAGGATGTGTGCAAGAAGACTGTAAGAGAGAAGCAGAGACTTGTACATATCTACAGAGATTTAAATGAGTAATGGAGTGTGCCAAATGCAACTAGAAGATGCCCTCAGATTTACCCACAAATCATTATTTATGAGAATGAAACCAGTTTGCAAGGCATCTGAATGGAAAAAAAAAAAAAAACCTAACACAAATTGATTTGTTTACTCAAGGGACTTGATCTTGGTGTCTTCCTCTCAATTTTTATTTGCTCTTTCCAAAGCATGAATTTCATGTCTAAAGTATAAGTTCTTGCCAAAATGAGTATTAAAACTTTTGCAGTAATGCAACTTTCTGATTCATGTTAATAGGAGTATTCAGGATCAGTTACTCCAACTGAGGAAATCTGATTTACACTCTACCTTCGTGAATAAAAGTGTTACTCCTATTATTCAAGGTCTCTATGAAGTCATTCCAATGTTTTAAACAAAAGTAATTTTATAAAACTATTTTTAAGTGACACTTAGGCAAATGTCTTCTTTTTTTCCTGTTATTTTCAGTATCTTAAATTTAAGCATGCATGCATTTTATGTTTAGCTACATTCTCAGAGGGAAAACCCATCACTGTTTCCCACTAAATGATTCCGCTGTGCTTGAAAACACTCTAAACTAATGTTTGAGGATCTTAGTTAAAGATAGTCACTGAAAACAAAGGCAAAGACTGAAATAGGAATTTGGAGCATAAACAGACTTTGCTACAGAAATTTGACGAAATGTAGAAGATTTTATATGAATAATAACTAATCAAGACTAAACTTCTCAGGAAACTCCATATCTGCT